TTTAATGTTATTTTTATCTTTATATTTTGTAAGCCGCCCAGAGTAGATTCTTAAACCTAGACGGGCGGGGTAAAAATGGAACAAATAAAATAAATAAATAAATAAATTTTATGTACGTTTTTTGGGGGGAGGGGTGTGATGGTGAAGCAGATGCAGCCCTCCAAGGTACAGGGTTAGGCACAGGTGGTCTCCAGATTTCTGGAGTTTGCTCACTCCTTTCATACCCACGATCAAGTTATAGGTAGAAGGAATGTTCAGATTTTGCAAGTCCAGATACCTGCAGAGTGGTAGAATTATACCAAATGTATAATAAATGCCCAGCATGCTGCCAATTTGCTCAGTCTCAGAACACCCCTAGAAGAAGGGGATGGTAAACTACTTTTGAGTACTTCATGAGAAATCCCTGGAAAGGGTCATCATCAGCCAAAATGATTTGACACCATGATTATTTAATCATGGTATTTTCTCCAACCTGTCCATGCAATCCTCCTGGGTTTTCTCGGCGGCCACTATCTCCTTGAGCAGGTGTATACCTTGTGGAAAACAAAGGGCAGGCTTCAGCTTGTGCAACATCAAGCTGGGAACTGCAGGAGCTTTGCAAACAGATTATGGTGGCAAACAGGAGACTAGGCTTTGTGATTTAGATTTATAGTAGGGATGAAGAATCATGTTTTGGGCTTTCTTTCATAAAGCTTCAGCTGTCTTGCATTACATCCAGAGGCCCAAAGATTCCCTGCCCCTGATCTGTATGCCTTTCTCTGCCGTGGGGTTGGAGATCTATTGTCAAATTCCAGGACTCTCTGAAGAATATACCAGCTTTCTAAGCGCCTTTGGAAGGAAAAACAAGATGTGGGAGCAGGGGCTGGTGGGCTGCGTTTTGTTTAAAGGCAAATTTGTCTGTCCCGGAAACTTCTAGGAGCACACGTGGCCATTTTCGGCCTCCAAACAGACTGCAAAGGTGTATGCAGAAATCTCTCTGGATACCACATACGGCCCATATGGGAGAGGATTCCCACCCCTGCTCTAGACCAGTGGCTCCCTACCAGGTTTCTTGGACTACAACTCCCAGAAGTCCTGGCCAGTACAGCTAATGGCAAAAGCTTCTGGGGGCTTGAGCGAAGAACATCTGGGGACTCAAGGTTGGGACTGTCTAGACCTGTCTAATATAGTCCTCCAAAGAATAAACCTGCTAGTCCTAATGACCAGACTACTCCCGATACCTCAGCAAGCTGGGGTTGTGACCTCACAACACTGAGATGAGGCGTGGGTGCAGACTTTGTAGTGTGATATAAACATTCTTGTGCACAAGATGCTTTTGTTTTCTTTTTTTAAGGATACGCAGTCAACCACGCCGGCTAAAGGTCCTTCAGTGTTTTTATTCATAGCAGCTCCATACTGTATACAGAGCTTTTTACCCACTGACATTTGAGTAATAAAAGATCAATGGGCAGTAAGTTACTGTCATTTACTCCATAATGTGTTGTTCTCGTTGGCAGGTGGATCTCATGGCCTACACAGTTTTTTTCTGTATCCTGGTGGTTGTTACCATAGTGATTAATATTGCCACTCTCCTTTTCCTGACTTTCAGATATGTAAGTGGCTGGGACATGGGGTGGAATGGGTAGAACATAGAACCAGTATTGGTCACAAAGCTTCCAGTGGAACTGGACTCCTTTAATGTGTGCATGCGTGTGTTCTGTGGAGGTATGTGTTGAATGCCTTTGCCCAAACTCTTTTCTTACAGAATTCACTCCCTTTCATTTGCCTGAGAACATTTTAAAGGCCCAGCTTTATCTTTGTCCTGCTGCTTCTACTTTAAAGAGTCCTCATATCACTGTACATTCTTCACAATGACCTCAGAGGGACTTTCAAAAAGAGATCACTTCATCTGCCTCTCGGGACATAAAACTTAACAGGTCTTGACTTTCTTCTTTTCCAGATACACTGGGTCCACGTGCTTTATTCAGCCATTTCTGCCATTGCCTTCACCCTGGTTAGTAAAGACATTTCTCTTATTGCCTTAACTGAGATATCGGCTCCAGAGACAATACAGTATATGTGCTGGATTTGGACTGTCAAGTAAGAACTGCTCAGCAGTTCCATGACTGACTACTGCTTGTTAGAAGCAGGCACTAAATTAACATGTCTTCATCGAGAGACAATTTTAGAAAAGTCATTTTTTGGACTATAACTTCTGGAATTCCCTAGCTTGTATTGATAGGATATTGGGAGACGTAGTCTAAAAAAGCTGCTTTTTGGAAAGCAAAGCAGATAAATAAAATGATACAAAACAGTGAAACTTATGGAAAAAGTGGACAGTGTTCAACTCCCCTTATACCCATGCTGCTTTTTTTAAGAACTGCTCAGCGGTTCCATGACTGACTACTGCTTTTTAGAAGCAGGCACCAAATTAACATGTCTTCATCAAGAGACAATTTTGGAAAAGTCATTTTTGGACTATAACTTCTGGAATTCCCTAGCTTGTATTGATAGGATATTGGGAGACGTAGTCTAAAAAAGCTGCTTTTTGGAAAGCAAAGCAGATAAATAAAATGATACAAAACAGTGAAACTTATGGAAAAAGTGGACAGTGTTCAACTCCCCTTATACCCATGCTGCTTTTTTTTAATCAATAAGAAGTGATTTGGATATCAATACATTTCTTTCCTGAAAGCAAAGGTAAAGGTAAAGGTAAAGGTTCCCCTTGACAATTTTTGTCCAGTCGTGTTTGACTCTAGGGGGCGGTGCTCATCCGGAATTCCCTAGCTCGTATTGATAGGATATTGGGAGACGTAGTCTAAAAAAGCTCTTTTTTAAAGCTCTGATCCAGATTAACTGCTTTTTGGAAAGCAAAGCAGATAAATAAAATGATACAAAACAGTGAAACTTATGGAAAAAGTGGACAGTGTTCAACTCCCCTTATACCCATGCTGCTTTTTTATCAGTAAGAAGTGATTTGGATATCAATAAATTTCTTTCCTGAAAGCAAAGACTTTTGCTAAATCCATTAGGAGCTAGCCAAGGTTTTATTTGGGGCTGGCAAATTTACAAATGACCTTGATGGCCATTAGAAAATTTGAAAATTATTTGCAGGATTATATGTTTGATATAACAGATAAATTAATAACAAGAACACCTTCTCTGAATGATTCTTCAGAGAATGCTGGGTGACACAACAGTAACAACAGTTCCACACTGCTAAATCCATTAGGAGCTAGCTGAGGTTTTATTTGGGGCTGGCAAATTTACAAATGACCTTGATGGCCATTAGAAAATTTGAAAATTATTTGCAGGATTATATGTTTGATATAACAGATAAATTAATAACAGTCCCTCAGCTGTGGAATGATTCTTCAGAGAATGCTGGGTGACACAACAGTAACAACAGTTCCACACTAGCAGATACTTCTTAATTGAGGGTTTTTCATCAGATTTTCATGTTTAAAAAACATCTGAAAGGCTAAATCCAAGTGTTAGCCCCAAGTAGAGTAGCACCACTGAATGAACATTTGTCAAATTAACACTTAGTTTAGGGGCATTGATTCACTGTGTCTACTCTGGTTGGGACTAACAACTGGATTTCCTTGTAATGTCGTTTAATGACCAAAATGATTATTTTAAGTTTGCGGATAATCAGGATGCTACAGATTTGCTTCTTCAGACTGCAGGTATCATGGGCACTGCCCTTGTTGCGTACAGAATTCTTCGAGTTGCAGTAAAAAAGATCAACTATCTGCACATCTCTCATGCCAATGTTATTTAGCTGTGGTTTTGACAGCATTAAAATTAATTTTGTATCTCCGTGATTGCTGTCACACTCTCCATTAGATTCTTCTTCTCTACATCACTACTACTACTACTATTCTCTACATTAGATTATTATTGCTGTCACTCTGTACAGAAGATTATTATGCTTATGTAGGTGTAATATTTCGTTTCATCAGTTGTATTGCGTTTTAGTTTAGATAATAGGTTGCAAAGCTACTGACAGAGGTAAATAATATTATTGATCAGACAGCAGCATTCTAAATGTTGTCATAATAAAAACAGAAGAAGGCTATAGCACCCATTATAAAAAGGTAAAGGTTCCCCTTGACAATTTTTGTCCAGTCGTGTCTGACTCTAGGGGGCGGTGCTCATCCCCGTTTGCAAGCCATAGAGCTAGCGTTTTGTCTGAAGACAATCTTCCGTGGTCCCATGGCCAGTGCAACTTAGACACGGAACGCTGTTACCTTCCCACCGAGGTGGTCCCTATTTATCTACTTGCATTTGCATGCTTTCGAACCGCTAGGTTGGCAGGAGCTGGGACAAGCGACGGGAGCTCACTCCATTGTGTGGATTCGATCTTACGACTGCTTGGTCTTCTGACCCTGCAGCACAGGCTTCTGCGGTTTAGCCCGCAGCGCCACCACATCCCTATATAGCACCCATTATACCATTTATGTATTTACTGCACTTCTATACTACCCATCTAGTGGCGAGCCACCACTCTGGGCTGTTTACAACAATTAAAACCTCAACCCTCCCACCATAAACAAAACAAACAATAAAATTACAATTAAAAAAAAGAGAATCCCCAGAACATACAGCAATCAAAATAAAATTTGAACATAACTGACAGTGGGAGGATGTTCTTGAAGGCTTTCTTGAAGAGCAGCGTTTTAGTCCCTTTCCTGGAGGACAAGAGGGAGGTTGCTTGGCATACATCCATAGGCAATGTAGTCCAGAGCGTTGCAGCCACCAACTTTTTGGTGGCTGTTTTCCAGGTCTCCTTACTGATATGAAATCCTAACTGGAACTTGTATATTTCAAAGTAATGATGACCAGATTTCCCACGTATAGTCACTAAAATCAACGCATTAAGATGGAAATCAAAACATCATAGGAACATAGGAAGCTGCCTTATGCAGAGTCAAAGCGTTGGTCCTTTTAGCTGTATGTGGTTGACAGACTAGCTATGGTTTTTCCATGCTTCAGGGAGGTATCTTCCCTGAAAATATCTCCTTCTATATTGAGATGTAGCCCCACTCACATCTCTTATGTATTCCCATGAAATTTGGTCAGACACAACATTCTGAAACAATATTCAGGAAAACCAGCAGGAAATAGATAATGCAGATACTAGTGGCAAAGAAAAGCAGCATTAAATAGTTACATTTTGGGTGATGTGAAGCAGTTTGCAGATCAAGTGGGACTTGTGGAAATGATGAGAAATGTTTGGTTGAATCCAGAAGCCTGGAATCCATGAAGGAATGTTTGAGAGCTAGGTCATTTCTTGAACCATATAACTGATTGTTTTATTTCTGATTTTCCCACAGTTTCTTGCACGTGATACCCAGTTGCTACTGGGAAACAAAACCTCTGCAGTCACTCTTATGGGCTACATTTATGCAGTCATCTCAATTTTTACAGATATAATCTTCATCTTTTTCTACATCTACAGCCTGGCAGTAGGAATTAGGGACTAGTCCTTCTATCTAGGGTCAAAATTATTCCATAGCAGGTATGGGGAGACAGTTTTCCAATCAGAAGATTCTTTTCCCTTCTCGCTTTGCCAGTACATGAATCTGGTGTTTGCCAGGATCTTATAATAGATATGGATGATATATAAGCTTCTGCAGAGCATTGTATTCTGATATTGATGTCATACACATATGGAAATAAAATATTGTATAAAACTTTTCATCCTTGAATTGCATGGACACAATCCAGAGAAAGTTACTTATGTTCAGGTCTTACTGAAACAACAAATCTAAGCCCCACTGGTTTCAGAAGGAGTGGCATGATGAGATTTTTCTGGATTAGGGTGTTATGTTTTAAAATTCTTCTACAACATATGCATCCAGGAAATATACTGTCTTTGCAGTAAAGGCCAAACAAATTAGCTGTAATTACAAATCAATTAACATAAAAGTGGCTGGAGGGACTGCATGAGTAGGTAAGGGGAGTGGGTAAAGGTACACTCTTGCTTCGAATCAGGATTAGGACCCTGGGCCTTGGATACCTGAAGGACCACCTCCTTCCATATGAGCCTACCTGGCAGTTAAGATCTAGCCAGGGGGCCCTTTTGAGAGAGCCGTCCCTTAAGGAGGCAAGAGGGACGGCTTGTAGACAAAGGGCCTTTTCGGCCGCTGCCCCCAGACTATGGAACACCCTCTCGACTGAAATTCCTCTGGCGCTGATGTTGATGACATTTTGGCGCCAGATCAAAACCTTCCTGTCCCACAAGGCTTTTAATTGAAATAACATCAACTGTGGGTCCTGATGGCAATTTTAATTCTATTTTAATTATTTATCTTTTATTGAATTTTATTAAATTTTAATTGTTGTAAGCTGCCCAGAGACCTTTGGGTAGAGTGGGTGGCATATAAGGTTAATTAATTAATTAATTTTGAAAGGAGGCAATAGTAAAACTGTTACTGGTAATCCCACCTGGAATGCCCCCTCCACATTGTATTACTGACCAGTCTCCAATATTCTATTTTTGGGCAAAGTACTAGAGCACAAAGTGATTTCTTAGCTCTTGGGATTCCTGGACAAGCTGGATCATCTAGACTGTTTTCATTCTGGCTTGGGTTATGGAAGAATGACAAAGTTGGTTGCCTTGCTACATGGCCTGTGCCAGGAATTGGAAAGGGGAGAGTGTCCCTGTTCGTTCTGCTGGACCTCTCCTTAGCTTTCATCACCTTAGATCATAGTAGCCTTCTGGAATGAGACTTGCAGGCACCATCTTACTTTTTCTTCTTCTGCACAATGTGTGGTCACCTCCTGACTTGTATAAAAGCATTAAATGACCTGTTAACATTTAATTGTTTTTTATCCTTTTCCTGGTGAACTCTGGATTTGCTATCCTCAAAGCTGCTGCACATTAATAACTGTTTCACTGAGCTATCTAGTACAACCACAAACCACCTCTCCTGGCCAATCACTGGAAAGCCAGAATGTTCTGTCCCAATGTGCAACGCTTCACACCTACAATGAACCACATTGCCATTCTGGTGCCCATTCATCCTGTACTAAGACGTCTATTAGGGACTCCTCACAATCCATTTTTATTATCCAGAATAATTTGGTGTTATCTGCAAATTCTTACTGCTAACCTCTGACTCTAAATCTGACTTAAAAAACATTAGAAAATAATCAAATCCCTTTGTATACTGTCTCTTATGTGGAGCAGTAGGTTTAAAAAGCCAGCGCTAATAACAACGCAAACGTGGATGAATTGAAGACAAGGCATCAGTTAAGTAAACGTTTCCAGACTCTAGCTATCAACTGCATGATCTTCCTTCCCTTTCTTATTCTATTTCTGCCCAACCTCCAACACAAAACATTACAGGTAACTGCTAAGAGTCACGTCACATGGAAACGATGAGATTTAGGAAAGGGGAAAAAAAACTAAATTTGCAGGCAAGAAAAGTAGAGCAGAAGGGTGATTGTTCTTTAGATTTTCTTCTATAAAGTATGTGTTACAGTGTAACACCCTTAGACCTATTTACAGTACATGATAAAGCCCACTTATTCTAGAATTGAAGGACATACAATATAACAAACCAATCTGATAAGAACGCTGCTCTTGCTTCAGATTCAGTTAAGAAAAATTCTAAGTCTGCCCCCCTAATTCAATGGCATCCTTGTATCCTAATGAATTAATAAAAGCAAGGCAAAATTTGCTGCTTAGATACCACCCCATTAGGCTTGAAACACTTTCTGGGTGGTTTACAATTTAGTTATGCAGACTACATATTGCCCCCCTTCCAGCAAGCTGGGCACTCAACTTACAGTACTGACTTAGAAGAATGGAAGGCTGGGTGAACCTTGAGAGCAGAGTTTTGACTGCACTGCACCATGAGGTAAGAAGCACCTCCTTCCATTTGCAAATTCAGATGAGCTAAAGAGAAGTACTTTTAAAAACTAAGAAACACACAGCAATAACTATAAGAAGAAATTGTGCATTCAAATAAAATCCCTGCAATGAATATTTTGAGTAGAGAATACACTGGCTGAAATTTTGTTGCTTAGAAGTCAAAAGCTATCAAAAAAGTAAATATCCCTGAATTCAAAGGAGGTGATTTCTGAATAGGCAAGGGACTAAATTTACTGGCAACCTGAGTGACTGGTGGCCTGAGAGGTTTTTTTTAAATAGGATTGTTATTTTCTGTTGTTCTTGAATGAGTTTCTAGTATTGATTCTATCAACTGTTTTTTATATAACACTTGTTTACTTCTTTTTAAATACTTATATATTTGCTGTTTTTAGCTTTTAAATACAGTATTGTTTTTTAATTGTTGTAAGCCACCTTGGATCTTTTTAAGGAGAAAAGTGGGGTAAAAATATTTTAAATAAATAAATAAGTACAGCTGACCCATTGAATCCATGGAACTTAGAGAAGCTGAATCACCAAACCCCCATTGATCCAGTGGGCAGGGCTTGAAAAATGCACTCGTCCACTCATCTGTGATGAGTGAAAAATGCTGCTCGATGAATCACAGCTCCCTCCCTGCCTGCCTCCTTCCCCTTTGCCTCTCTCTCTCTCTCTCTAATCCTGCAGTCCTCCCCTCCCTCTTCCATTGCAAAAGGAAAACTGAGTTTGAGCAGTACATATATAGCTCTGCAGGAGAATGTAGTGTAGTCCCATGCTGGAGAATATGGAGATTCCCTGCTCACAATTTCAACCGAATGAGGACACATCCTGGGGTGGGAGGGAACCATGGCTCCTTAAGAGGCCATGCGTGTGGGAAATTTTTAGTTTTAGAGCTCTACCTTGTGGCTACAAAGAGATGCACCAGCGGTGCTTGGCATAACCATGTATTGTTCTGTTATTCCTTCTCTGTGCAAGTGTGGAATGTGTAAAACTGATACTCAATGCCTGTTTGGGCAAAAGCTTATCTTTATGCGTGTAAAACTGATAGTTACTCAACGCCTGTTTGGGCAAAAGCTTATCTTTATGCAAATATGCTTACTTAATAAATAGATGTGCCCCAGAGCGTAGCCAAGAAGGAGGAGACATTTTCTCCTAGTGATCACTGGTGGCATGCTTGGTAATGAAAGACTGCAGTGTATTTTCTTATCAGAGATCTCTCCCTATTTTTACAACCGCGGCTGAGGCAGGCCTCCCAGCAGCGGTTCCCACACAGGCGCTTTTGCTTTATTTTTGCTGGAGACATTCAAAAGAAAGGTATTCAAAATACAAGCTTAATGACCCCACAGGCACTTAGGTAATAAAGCAACCCAAGTCTGAGAGTATAAATCAGTGATTTCCAATCCCAATAAATGACAGTTGTGCCTCACTTAACGACGATAATCCGTTCCAGGAAAATCGGCGTTAAGCGAAAACATCGAAAAGCGAAAATAAAAACCCCATTGAAACCCGTTCAATGCGTTCCAATGGGGTAAAAACTCACCGTACAGCGAAGATCCTCCATACGGCGGCCATTCTATCTGCCTGTATAGCGAGGAATCCGTCCCTAAACACAGCGGGGAGCCATTTTAATCACCAGGGGGTCATTTTGAAACCGCAGATCAGCTGTTCAAAAAACGTCGTTTTGCGAAGAATTGGTTCCCAAAGCAGGGAACCGAGCATCGCAAAGCGAAATTCCCCCATTCAGACCATCGTTTTGCGATCGCAATTGCAATCGCAAAATGATCGTCATAAAGCGGATTTGTCATAAAGCAGGGCAATCGTAAAGCGAGGCACCACTGTACAACGGTATAGTCCGGTCATGCTGACTGGTGACATTTTTGACTGACTGGTGAGACATTCTAAAATTTTTCAAGCCCTGCCAATGGGTCTACTCTTTAATCAACTTACTAGACTAAGCAACAGCATTTCAACCCACTGAAAAGTTGCAGAAAGTTACGGTATTTTGTACTAACATCCCTAAACAGTGTCTTGAGAGAGCCAATATAGTGGATAGAATATAGGACCAGAATTTGGGAGACTGAGATTCAAATCTTTGCTCAGCCATGGAAACTCATTGGGAGAGTGGTGTGGTGATGGTAAACCAATCCCTGAACTTTTAATATACCCTGCCATTAGCTGGAAGCAACGTAACAGCACATAACAATCGCTGGTCAATTAATTGTTTGTATAAGTCATTAAGGGGAAATCCATTCCTTTTACTTTATTTCACAGTCCATTCTGAAGGTTATAAACTTTATGTATGGATAGTAAGAAAATATGCACATCACAGTCTTTCACTATAATAATCTAAAGTGTTACATAATATTTCCATTTCCCAAGTATTTAAATGAGCCATATTAATGCCAATTTGGTAAGATTACAGTCCCATCTATTATCAGTTTTATCATAATGAAATATGATATGGAAAATACACAATATGATTCCTCATAATCTTTTGTACGTCTTGTAAAGAAGACAGTCATTGCTTTTTCTAGTCCAGGGGATCTGTTGTTGGCCAGAAAGCGGTATCTCTTCCTTAATATGTATTCAGAGGTGAAAATTATTAGTTGTAGACAATCATACTGCTTAGCATCTTACAAAGGCAGCATGAAAAATCTATATACTGCTGTACGTCGCTGCACTGCACCCCAAGTAGAACGAATTCACTAGGACATCTGCTGTAGGCTGAAGCCAGTAAATGCACAGTCGCAGTGCACAAAGTTAGGACTGTTGGATGCCAAGCTTAGGTATTTGTTTCTGGAAGTTCCTCTGTCACTAGCAATGCTGTCTTAGAGTCTTTAGTTTCTCTGACTGGATGAATTCATCTCCCGCTGGCGCTTCATTACTCTCAGACGCTTCTTCTCTATATACTCCTTTGTAAGGAAGAAAGCACCGATGGCAATTGGAGTTAGGATTACCCTATGGGAGATAAATACAATATTAAGTAAAAGATACACTGAATAGAAGTTGCACAAGGCAACTGAGATGCAAGCAGGCAAGTATAGGGTTCTAGAAAGATTTTGCCAAAGATAAAATCATCCCCTCCTGCTACTATCCTTGCCCAGGAGCCCATGTATTCCTCCCTTCCAAACTGGCCCAAGTGTAGGTGAGGGAACAGGCACTCTCCATTTATTGCTACAGCACAATTTCCATGAGCAATAAGCAGAAGAGCCACTTGTAAGGGATGCTGGGAGCTCATCACTTGAAGAGTAACCAACAATATGCAGTAATAACTAGAAGCCAACAAGGATTTGTCAGCAACAAATCCTGCCAAATTAATTTGATCTTGTTTTTTGATCAGGTCACCTCCCTGATAGGGAATGCTGTAGATGTAGTGTATCTTGACTTCAGCAAACCTTTTGACAAAGTGTCCTATGATATCCTGATTACCAAGCTAACTAGGTGTGGGCTGGATAGATCAAGTGTCAGGTGGATACATAATTGGCTACAGAATCGTATTCAGAGGGTGATGATTAATGGATCCTTCTCTAACTGGCAGGAGGTAACTAGAGGGGTGCCCCGAGGCTCAGTCCTGGGCCTGGTGCTCTTCAATATTTTTATTAATGACTTGGATGAGGGCGTGCAGGGAATGCTTGTCAAATTTGCAGATAAGACCAAATTGAGTGGAATAGCTAATACCCTAGAAGAAAGAAACAAAAGTTTAAAACGACCTTGATAGGATGGAGCACTGGGCCAAAAGCAACAGAATAAAATTTAGCAGGAATAAGTGCAAAGTACTGCACATCGGAAAAAGAAACCAATTGCACAGTTACAAGATTGGGGATACCTGGCTTGGCAAAACTACAAGTGAGAAGGATCTTGGAATTGTCGTAGATCACAGGCTACATATGAGCCAACAGTGTGATGTGGCTACAAAAGAGGCAAATGCTATTTTAGGCTGCATTAATAGAAGTATAATTTTCAACTCCTGCGAGGTGCTAGTCCCCCTCTATTCAGCACTGTTTAGGCCTCACCTTGTGTTCAGTTCTGGGCATCACACTTCAAGAAGGATGCTAACAAATTGGAACAAGTTCAGAGGAGGACCACAAGGGTGATCAGGGGGGCTGGAAACCGCCTTATGAGGAAAGGCTGAAAGAAAAGGCATGTTTAGCCTTGAGAAAAGAAGAAAAGGCTGAAAGAATAAGGCATGTTTAGCCTTGAAAAAAGAAGGCTGAGGGGTGATACAATAGCACTTTTCAAATATTTGAAAGGCTGTCATACAGAGGAAGGGCAAGATCTGTTCTCGAACATCCCAGAGTGCAGGACACGCAACAATGGGCTGAAGTTAAAGGAAGCCAGATTTCAGTTGAATATCAGGAAAAACCGCCTAACTGTTAGAACAGTACAACAGTGCAACCAATTACCTCAGGAGTTGGTGAGTCCACCACTTGAGGAATTAAAGAAAAACTTGGATAATCACCTGACCTGGGGGAGTTGGTGAGTCCTCCACTTGAGGAATTCAAGAAAAACTTGGATAATCACCTGACCTGGCAGATATGCTTTGATTGTATTGCTGCGTTGAGCAGGGGGTTGGACTTGATGACCTTGTAAGGCCCCTTCCAACTTCACTTTTCTATGCTTCTAAGAGTATCTGGAGGACTGTATGTTTCTCACCCTGCCCTATCTGTCACAGTGGATTACCTAAGGTTGCAGGTGTCAAAGAAACGAATAGTACAAAGACGATAAACCACAATGTCAATGCAGAGCTTACCAGATAATAGCAACTATCTTTGTTGGATTACGTCTTATTAGGGGCAGAGGTTCCACACGTCCATATATGGGTTCAACATGACGTGGCTTTCTCGGTAGTTCTTCCCACAGACTGCAACTACTGTGGAACTGTCTGGTAGCAGTTCTGAAAGGCACAAATAAGCTTGCCACTCGGCTCACAGTGGCAGAAAGAAAGCCTATAAGAGAGGACATATATATATATCATAAAACTGCACTTTCATTAATGTTTTCATCACAGTTTCCTAACAATGCTGGTTTCCAAACTCAACAATCTCGAAGTGTACTGTATTAAGATCCATACCCAGGCAAAAAGGAAGCAGAGTAACAGAAATTTTAATCTTTCAAGATCATGTCTAATAGGCTGTCTTTATGTCTGCCTGCTCACAGGTTCATTTGGAGTTACAGTATTTACATACAAGCATGCACAGTATGAATGATAATGACTTAGGCATGAGCCAGCTAGGAGCTGAGAAAATGCCCCCACTTGGATACCATATTTGGGCAATATAATACATTTTGAAAGCCAACTTCCTGCATTTTACATGTTCTATATTTCCCAATCAAACTCTATATTTATTTTCTCCTGTCATATAATTTTCTCCTGCCATATACTTTCCCCAAAACCTATTATTGACATAAGATAACAGAAGCAAAACCACGCAGGCTCCCTACAGCACCTTGGAGGGAGGTGGGGGAGTTGAGGATGATTCCCCCCCCCCAATGCAATAAAATGGATGTGGGGAACGTGTGGTCTTCACGATGTGAACGATCTCTTAACTCCTACCAAGTATGACAGGGAGAATAACTGCACCGTTTCTCCAACCCCGCAGGGGTGAAAATGCAGCTATTTTCCGAAGTGGATTTCGATTCACGAAAGCTCACACTGAAATAAATCGTTTAGTCTTTCGAGTGCCATAATACGTATTTTGCACCCCTCTCCGTTTCTCCTCTTTAATTCTGCAGACTTCTAGCTTGCCTTGCAGATCCGTAACAGCCCCTTTCTCCTCTTGATCATTGGCCCACCGCAGCCCCTTGCTACTGCTCTTTACCTTCTCCCGCCCCAAGTCCTATTACCCTCACTCAAAGTCCATCATGTGGACATGTCTTCCAGTGACGTCTCCCTTACCCTGCAATCCAAAATAAGGGGCCGCCGCCATCTTCGGGAAGCTCTCTCCGTTCCTTGTTTGCATACGCTGGGCATTGAGGCCACTAGAGGGCAGGAACGGAAAACTACAACTCCCACCAGCCCCTTCGCGTCCCTGAACCGACGGGTAGTCAAAGGACAGTCGGACCGCGATTGTCATAAGCCAAGGGGATGGGTGCGTAGTTCCATGCTTGGAATGCGAAACGAGCGTATCAGGCGGGCCTTGCCGACGGTCCTGATTGGCTAGCTTTTTCAGTTTCGCCTTCGGTGATTGGCGTCGGAACGCGGGTCCCGGAGGGGGAGAGGCGTGGCTGGCAAGATCGGCGGAGACGCGTGAGTGGCGTCGGACCTGGTGGTGGCTGCAGCCTGCATGGCGGAGCCCGGAGACGGGGCAGAGTTAGCGCCGGCGGAGTCGGAAGCGCTCCTACTCATGGCCAGCGGCGGCGGGGAGGGTGACGCGGAGGAGATCGTGGAAGTGGTCGACCTGGAGCCACCTGGACCTGGTACGAAGGGAAAGAAAGCGGCTGGGGCTGGGACTCGAGCGAGGTTAAGGGGGTTCGGTTTGCTTTTTGCAAATAATTGTGCCAAAAGGAGGAAGGGGGCGATTCAAGGAATTAGGAGATCTAATGGACTTCATTTCTTCCTCGTAGCGAAAATTGCTGTGAGGTTCTTTAGGTGTATGCACTATCAGTCTCTAACGCTTTCTAGCATGCCGGGGTAGTGGTGGGGGTGGAATAGGTCTCTGCCCCGCAGATTTACAATCTAAAGCTCGGTGACAGGGAAGATAGGAGGTGGGCTCTGGTTATTTATTTATTTATTCATAGCATTTATGTCTGGCTCTGGAAAGACTCTCGGAGTGGCTTGCAGGACAGCTCAGTGATTTAGGTATGGGAGTTCGATTCCCCACTATGCCCCCTTACACTCCTATATCAATAAGTGTAAGAGAAGGCAATCTTTGTCTTGAGGCTTACATGCTAAAAGTACACAAAACAAAAGGCAAAGGAAATGGGAAGGGAGGAGGAACATGAAAGCACAAGATGCTTGTCTTATGAGACTGATAAGGGGAGTACTTCAGGCCTCATGTGGTTTTTTTAATTATTTGTCTGACTTCTTTGCAGATATAAATTCATGAGCTATGCTTCTGGACTGGAGCAGCTGTTCTGTCCTGTAAAGGAGCAGCAGTATCCTCTAAAGTGGGAGTACACAGAAGTAGTAACAGATCTAATGGTTGTGGTGGGTTTTTCGAGCCCTTTGGCCTTGTTCTGAAGGTGGTTCTTCCTAACAGCACAGAGGACAGAGGAGTGCTATCCTCTCAAGATGCCGGCCACAGAGACTGTCGAAATGTTAGGAAGAACAGCCTTCAGAACACGGCCTAAGAGCCCGAAAAACCCACAACAAGCATTAGATCCCGGCCGTGAAAGCCTTCGCGAATACAAAGATCTATTTTACTTACAGTGCTGTGAGAAAAAAGTTTGATGCTATGATGCCATGTTGTTTCTTTTTTTGCAGATGATTTAGCCAATGAGATGGAAGATGTGGATTTAGATGAAGAAGAGGCTGCTTGGGAGACTGAAGAAGAAGATGAGGGTGTGGAGGAAGGCATGGAAGCCCAGGATGACAGTGAGGTCACTTTCTCCAAGCACACAGGTGAGCTATTACAGGAACAAAAATAGATCCCCAGTTCCATTATCTACTCTCCCAGTTCAGATTTTTGCCTTCTGTCTGGCAGCAGGCAGCAATTCTATACTATTTATTGTGGGATGCTAGGATTTGGGGATGTGATTCAGTAACATTCCCTGCATACACTGGAAGCTCTCTACCACCAAAGTTCACTATAATCACACTGCCATCTACATTTGGTTGGTGTATGGTTTATGTATTCATTGCATTTGGTCTCATAACTATTATCCTGTTCTTTGTGTGGGTTTTGTTGGGGCAAGGAAATGGTCAGAATATTTTCATTATCGGAGTAACTGACTGACAAAAGATTGACCCAGGAGAAATTGGACTTGATGAATTTTCCAGGCTGGAAGTGCAATACTCTACTGTGTCGTCTTTTTGCCTGAAGGGTTAGGTATTCTATAGCAATACAGAGAGTGAGAGACCACTTGTTCCTAATTCCTGTCCTAGATGGTATTATGCTGTATTATTTGCTTGAAAAGGATGGCAGGGCTGTGGCTAGTTACGTCTTTAACCAAGCAAGATAGCATAAGAAGAGAGAGATCAATACCGTTTTATGTCTTTTCGGTTCCTCTTGTTTAGTTGCTTGTTTGAGATGCCTCTGCTCTGCCATTAACATTGTTCTCTTCATTCTCCTCAGCTTCTGTTTTCTGTGTCAACCTTGACCCTAAGACCAATACATTGGCAGTAACAGGTGGCGAAGATGACAAGGCCTTTGTGTGGCGTGTCAGTGATGGCGAGCTCCTTTTTGAATGCACAGGTGAATTAGAATTGGGAAAACACAAGTTTAAAAATAAAAGCTTCTTTTTACCTTGAATAGCATATTGGATGAGCTTCCTTTGAAATTCTTTGGTGTGGGACAGATTGGGAAGAGGTAAGAATGGAGGCCACTTTCCTTGTTTTTCAGATGTCTAAATTGTTCTTATTTTTGTAATTTCTGGCTTTCACTTTGACTATCAGTTTTCAGCTTTTAGCTATAGATTGACACGTGTTGATGACTCCATATTACCAAGAATGTTGTCCAGGATAGCATCCTGGTGCACAAAACAATGTATCTGTGCCGACATGTAATTTAATGGCTGATGCCCTGCTGCTTTGTTACGCATGTGAAATGCAGAAGGCAGCTTATTCCTAGCTGGTAATTAACAGATCACTGCTAGGGTTCTCAGAGATGCATGGTTTGGTGTGCTCTCAAGAATCCCAGAGTGGTCTCATTCATTGCTTGTTAGGAACAATGGAATGAGAAGTCTTTTGTGAAAGGAAGCAGCAGGATTTTAGCCATTACATTGCGGTAAGGGAATTATGTTAGTAATGCTATGCATACTACTATTACTAACTTTTATCTAAGACTTTTGGGTAAAGGTGAAGGCTATATATATACCCCATAAAAAACCAGAAAGAGACCATTATTATCCTAATTTTGTATGGTTTGAAGCTGAGAGTGAATGGCTTGTGGAGAACAGGCCAAGGACTACCACATGAGTGACTGGCAGAGATGAGATTTCAACCAGAAATTCTACTTCTTTAGTTGCAGCCTGTTTCTTCAGCTTCAGTCCTGTTCCCTGAGAATAAACCTCCATGAACCCATGGGATTCATTTCTGTGTGTACCTGTGTTCTCAGTCATGTGCAGGTAGAGCATATGATGTGCATTGGTGGTGCAAAGGAGGATTAGCATGAAGTATTGGATCAGCCAAGGCATAGCAGCACTAGAGACTCAAATTATAGCCCTGATTTAATGAATCCAGTGCAGTACCCTTTTAACTCTTAATATAGTAGAATGCAGCTGGCAGCAAAGCATAATTTGTTTTTTGCCTTTTTTTTTTTAGGTCACAAAGACTCTGTCACGTGTGCTGGTTTCAGCTACGACTCCATTTTCGTGGCCACAGGTGACATGAGCGGCCTGATCAAAGTCTGGCAAGTGGACACCAAGGAGGAGATATGGTCTTTCGAAGTGGGTGACTTAGAGGTGAGAAATAAGACATAAGTTCAAGGGCCAAAGCTTTGCAATGTAAAGATAAAGCTGGGTGTCTCTCTAGGAATCACCACACTCAGGACTTAAGGGAGCATTGCCCTCCAACTATGGATTCAGATTTACTCTATGAGCTAAGGGAAAGAATTAGGAATGAAAGTGCCATGAAACTGAAAATAAGAATTAGTAGTATGGGCAAACCCATCCTGAATTCAGCTGATGCTTCTAAAAAGAAGAGAGTGTGCATATGAGGATCTGCTGAGCACAGAGCAAAACAACCAGTTCCTTCCTAGTTCTGCTTACCTCTCAACCTCTTTTCTCTCTTGGACCCAGTGGATGGAGTGGCACCCTAAGTCCCATGTCCTCCTGGCTGGCGTAGCTGATGGGAACTCCTGGATGTGGAAGATCCCCAGTGGAGAATGCAAGACCTTCCAAGGGCCGAATTGTCCAGCTACATGTGGTCACATCCTTCCTGATGGTAAGCAGTGGGACTTGAGTTGTGAGGTTGCGTTTGCAGAACTGTTGCAAGAATAGGACTACCCGATGGGGGAGATATAATGCTAAGCTTTGTTCAATATTTATTCCTCATTGCCTTGTGTACCCAGAAATAGCCTCGGATTGTTTTGAAAGGTTGAGGGTGGGCGTAAAGGTTCCCCTTGACAATTTTTGTCCAGTCGTGTTCGACTCTAGGGGGCGGTGCTCATCCCCGTTTCCAAGCCATAGAGCCAGCGTTTTGTCCGAAGACAATCTTCCATGGTCACATGGCCAGTGCGACTTAGACACGGGACGCTGTTACCTTCCCACCAAAGTGGTCCCTATTTATCTACTTGCATTTGCATGCTTTCGAACTGCTAGGTTGGCGGGAGCTGGGACAAGCGACGGGAGCTCACTCTGTCGCGTGGATTCGATCTTACGACTGCTTGGTCTTCTGACCCTGCAGCACAGGCTTCTGCGGTTTAGCCCGCAGTGCCACCACGTCCCTCCGCAGCGCCACCACGTCCCTCATTGCCTTGCGTACCCAGAAATAGCTTCGGATTGTTTTGAAAGGTTGAGGGTGGGCCTCAGGGAATGAAAGCTGAGAGTTTTTCCTGGATATGATGGACAGTGACTAACAGAATGCCGTTTGCTGCAGGGAAGAGAGCTGTGGTTGGTTATGAAGATGGGACAGTACGCATCTGGGATCTGAAGCAAGGCAGCTCATTGCATGTCCTAAAAGGTACCAAAACTTTTATTCTCTTTCCACAGGAATAAAATTGGGGAGGACCTCTGAGTTCATCTAGCCCAGCACCCTACTCACACACAAAATCAGCTGCTGCAGCATTCCTGACGAGTGGTCAGCGGCCTCTGCTTTGAAACCCTCTTTCTGGTTTTCTATTTTCATATGTGAAAAGGAGACAGAAATGGTGTGTTGATTTCCCATTGGGAGAAGGGGAGTCTCTCTTTCATTGGGCTTACTCAGAGGAATGATAAAGGAAGCAGATCTTTTCAAAGAGTATGACTGACTTCCAAGGAACATAAGAAATGAGATGCTTTGGAGAATCAGCCTTAACAAAAGTCTCTGAGCAAGATACTGCGCAGTGTTTCGTCTTGGCACAGCTTTGCACATTGGTATCCTCTGCATGGGCCTGAAGAACATCGCATGGTTTGCACCCAGACTGGGATGTACTGGTCTGAGGAGGAGCATCCCCAACGCTTTTCTGGCACAATATCTGGGTAATAGGAGATTACAGATAAATGTTTCTTGAAATATGATGTTGCTTGTTTATCACTGAGGAGATCCTGAGCCAAGACACTGAGAGTGAGAGAAGGAGGAAACAGAAGGTGCTCTGCATTCCCTTGGCTCCCTTTGTAGCTGGTTTTGTGACTTTTGCTCTTTAACGTCTTCCAGGTCAAGATGGGCACCAGGGCCCTTTGACGTGTGTGGCAAGCAATCAGGATGGCAGCTTAGTCCTGACAGGATCCGTTGACTGCCATGCCAAGCTGGTGAACTGTGCAACTGGAAAGGTAAGTACATTCTCCTTACGCTGTGAGAAGATCAACCCTCACTTGGTGTGTGCACGTGAACCCTTTCTTTTGGTTCTGATGAACAGCCTGTAGTATCTGTCTGCCTAAGCAAGAACTGAGTCATTTCTATTGGTTATTGGCCTTGCTGTCTTTTTGGGCAAGGTCTTGCCTCTGGAGTAGAACTCTTTTTTAATTAACCTTCCTCCCAAAGCCATGAGGGCTTTTTCTTCCCCCAATCTTTATCTTCATAAACAGGTCTCTGTTAGGTTGGGCTGAAAGGTGACTAGCTGCATTTCCCATTCATCTTTATAATTGTCTGTGGATTTGGACCTGGATCTCTCCAATCCTAACTTGGGTGTAATCAATGCAGGGATTGCTAGCGTTCAGTCCCCAGAGGTTTTCAGAAATCAAACTGCTCCATTAAGTAATAGTTACAAACTGGGTTGGTTGTTTTTATGCATACCTAATATAATACTCTCTTTCATGCTTTAAATTACAGTAGTACCTTGGTTTGCGAAACAGATCTGTTCTACGCGACATTACGTAGTACGGAAATTTTGCAAACTGAAATGCCAATTGCACTACGAAAGGGGCAGCGCTGTAGGCGCAATGCGCTCTGGGAAAACCCTTTCGTAGTGTGAGAAAAAGAAAACAACGTAAACCAGGGCTTTATTTCTTAAGGATTTCAGTTCATAAACCGAAAATTACGTAAACTGAAACGTTTGCAAACCGAGGTACTACTGTATCTACATTTTTCTTCTCAGAGAAGTTACAGGTCTTGTGTGATACCCAGGCTTTGGTAACTTTGCTGACACCTCTTGCAGTGGTGAGGACGACTCAAGTTGTGGCAAATGAAATTAGCCTATATCTTTATCCAGACTGATAGTTAAGAGTACAGTAGAGGGGAGGAACCCTACCCCTTACCTTGCCTTGCCAATTTTACAGAAACCTGAGATTTATTTTGGCGAAGAGTTTCCTATATGCAGGTGCTGAGCCACAAGGAGCCTCCCATTCCTGTCTCTAACTGGAACTGGGCATGGTGAGGTGGAAGCTTATGTCTGTCTCTGAATGGCATGCTAGGTTGGGAGGGCCAGGTGGGCACAAAGGCAGAACAGCTCTCTGCTCACCTGTCTCCCAGATGTCCTGTTCCACCCTGAACTGTTGGAAGATAGAGGCAGACATCGGCCGTTCTGGACTGTACTTTCTGGTGATACCTTCCTCTCCCATAGTGCCCTTCCCACTGCTCTCACATCCCCTCTGCTCCTTCTTGGCTGAGACAATACATCCCTCTAGGCTCTGGCTCTCAAAGGCATGCAAATCAAAGGAGAGAGGGAGGGAGGCAATGCCAGGAGGAAAGAGGAAGATGTGGCTGATTTGTTCTTACTTGGCTAAGCCTCTTTATCCAAGCTGTGACTGGAACAAAAAGTTGGAATCTCCATGCAGGGGATCACAGTTTCCCTCCCTAGCTTCAATTTAGAAGGTTGGTTACTGGTTCTGGTGACCAGCAGGTGGCACCACACTTGTCTTGATGTGCATGGTGTGAGGATTTGTTTGAAGCTAGGTCTCCCCCCCCCCCCCCCCAATATCTGAGTGGGAACTAGCAAGAGGAGCAGTAGGTGGGTCCTGGCAGCCACATACTTTTGGCTGGCTGCTAATGCCAGCTAAAATCTGTTGGTAACATTTATGTTGCTTTCTTGACTAAATATATAGTTTATGTGTCTTTGCCTTGTGAGTCTTCCAGCTATGGGATCAGTTATAGCACTTTGGAACATGGCTGTGGGTAGTTCATTCATTATCTCTTTTTCCTGTAGATTGTATCTGTTTTCAAGGCAGAAAACATTGTCCCCAAGCCTTCAGCAGGAGAAGCTGAAGAGGCGGAATCCAACTCAGTAGAGTCTCTGGGCTTCTGCAATGTGTGAGTATTTGTTGTAGCAGGAAGAGTGCCATGTGATTTTGGAGTCTTGGGTAAAAAAGGAGAGGAACTAGAGAGAGAGAAAAACAATCCGTGAATCCAGCTTTGCATGCAGGGCCTGCCATGTGGGAAGTTAAAATGATGCAAGTGCTTCAGACTGCAGATGATGAGGGATAGCAATGGCAGCCCTGTGGCTAGTCTCCTCTTAGAGGACAAGACGTGCATGTCACATAGCCTGTCCTTAACTCCAAAACCCACCTGCTGCTCTTGGGTGTGGTAGAGGATGGCTTTTTTTTAATCCCCCAGATGTAACCACAGTATCTTTTAGCTTCTGACTGTGACATTTTGAGGTGAAACAATTGCCTTTGCCTGAAGAAGAAAATTGAATTTGTTGTTGTAGTTGGAGGCCTGATTGCTTGCTTAAAGTTCTTCTTCCCACAACAGTAAGTTTGGAAATGGCCCCAAGGAATTGGCAATAAGGACTGTTTTCAAAGTCAGGGAATAGAAAGGGTACGTTTAAAATGCCCACTTGCCCAGAAAATAAAATTGTCAGAACTCAACTCTGCATCAGTGAAAGCTGGATTTCATGACCTCTGCGAATCAGACCAGTACATTGTCATAATCTGTTGTTGCAGGGATATTAGTCAAAGTAAAGAACTGGGCAGGAGACTGCAACTCTGTCCCTTCCTGACCTCAGGCTCCAGTCTGGTTTCTGAGAACTAAGTTTCTTGGGCTGGGGGTTGGAAACAGTACATCTGCATGAATAGATTAGGCAGGAGTAGCTACCTCCAATATAACCTAATGTTTAGCTACAGAGATCTGAGATACATCTTTTAGCATCTACATGTTGCATTTTCTGGTCCTGTACTTTGCATGTGGAGGAGATTCGGACATCTTAAAAGTCATAAACCAGAGACAAAGTCTTTAAAAGAAATTATTTCTTCTGTTAGCAAAATGATTAGAGTAGCCCTTAGTTTGACACACACAAGCCTTCGAGCGGTGTTGCTCAAAGTTAGACACATTGGGCTTGCCCAGTCTGAATGAAATCATGTTTGGGGGAGCCTGAAGCCTTTGTGGGACCCTGCTTGTATGTTGTAACCCTGGAGCCCTCCGAGATTTGCCGGGCCTCTTGAAGGGCAGGCTGCACCAAAGCAGTGAGACAAGAGTGACCTTATCACTCTGTCTCTCAAATTCCTCCCTCCCTTCAGTCATGGCGATGACACTTTATTACATTTAATTAAATGTTTCACCTACATTTTGCCCCAAAAAGTGCACAAAGGAATCTGTCCGATGATGGTTGCCTCTCTTGCTTGGTTGTTCCAGGATGCCATTGGCAGCTATTGGCTATTTGGATGGGACGTTGGCTGTTTATGACCTTGCCGCACAGACCCTGAGACACAAGTGCCAGCATGAGGTAATAGCGAAGATCTGGAATCCCAGGGGTACAGTGGAGACACGTACTGGCAGGAGGTTGCCATTGGAGAGTGTGAAACCACAAGAGGAAGGCCTGTCTGTTATCTGGAAGAATTCGTGCAAGAAATAGAATGATAGGAGTGAGGACATTTGGGAGTCCAGCTACATTTGGAGGGTCAGGTTCCTCTCCAATAGCTCTGTAGGCCTTCCCTGTCATCTCTGTTCCCATCTTTCCCAGAGGGAACATTTTCTGAGCACACTGATAGCTGGGCCTTCAATCTAAATGTTTCCTGGGGGTGGCAGGGGAGTGGACATGGTGGCAGTGAGGAGACTGAAAATTCCATGCTTAGCAAATTAAAGCTCAGCAATTCAGCTTCCGGCAGAGGGACCCACACTACCTCCTAGCATAGAAATATAACAGACCACTGGAGGAGGGATGGGCTTTTTCATTCCTTCTTTCTACCAGTCCCTAGGTGGCTAGTAGAAATCTTGGCAAGCCAGAAACTTCCGCAGGCTTAATTGTAAAGGTGCTGTAGCCCCTTCTGTCTATCCTCTTGGACTGTCTGTCTGTCTTCCTCCAATAGGCATTCCTTGGTAATGGAGAGCTCTGACCATGTTTGCACATCAGGACAAGTCATGGTGCTTTTTATTGAAATCTGGCTTGTTATGACATAATAATCCCTACAGTTAAATGGTTTGTTAATCCACCATTTGAACCCAGTTTGTTGTTGGTTTATGAAAGCTGGGTTGTTTAAAACATGGCTTATCGTAACTTCTAAACCCAGAACTGTAGCTGTCCCTCCAGAAGCAAAGTAAGAAAAAGTACAGACGAGAAAGCAAGAGAAATAGTGAGTCCATTGTTGTTATCTTTTGGTTCTGTACAGGACAATTCCTGATTAAATAGGCAGCCACAAGTAAATGAACCATGGCTTATTGTGACATATAAGCGCACCAACTGGCCAAAATTCTATTAGGTACTATGTGTACGCAAGAAGAACTACAGACATTGCCATGGGTACTAGTTGCATGTCAGTTGTGTGCCTGGTCATGTGTGCAGCTAGAGATGTAAAATTTCTGGAAATTTTGAAGTTATATAAACCAACTTTGTGGGGAAAAACTGTTCCCCCCCCCCAATTTTTCCATGTTTTTCCCCGTCTCTGTGTGCAGCACATGCTCAGTTTCTCATCTGTGTGTGCAAATAGAATTTTGGCCATTAAGTTTTTAGGCTAGGCTTTGTGCCCGTCTGTAACTGCCTTCAATAGTCAGTAGATTTCTTTCTTTTGGCATGGCCTGGAGTGACCAAACAGACTAACCGCACAACTTCTGCTTGTTTTTACAGTCAGGGATTGTACAGCTCCTGTGGGAGGGGGGCTCACCGGTGGTCTACACCTGCAGTCTGGATGGGGCTGTGAGCCTCTGGGATGCACGTTCGGGCAAGTTGATCAGCGAGTACCGAGGACACTCGGCTGAAATCCTGGACTTTGCTTTGAACAAGTGAGTGGCTGAACCTTAAACTGTTTTTTGGCAAGGAGATGCCATGCATGGAGAGAGAGGAGGAGAATGTATGCACGAAAGCACACAAGGTTATAGGATAGACAGGCTGTAGGTCTGGATATATGAGGTACTTGAAACTCATCCTGGGACTCTTAAGTTGGGACTGAGGAAGGTCAAGTGGAGGCTTTTGTGAGAAACGCTGTTGGGGAAGGAGAGACATGGTCGTTCCAAAGTGGGAATACAGTGGTGCCTCGCATAACGATTTTAATTGGTTCCAAAAAAAAACACAACGTTATGTGAAACATCGTTACGTGAAACACCATTTTCCATAGGAATGCATTGGAAACAGTTTAATCCGTTCCAATAGGCACGGATTGCCGTCCTTAAGCGAAAAAACCCATAGGAAACATCGTTAAACGATACAATGTTTCCTCCATTGGAATGTATTGAAGCTGACTCAATACATTTCA